CATGCTTCCTCCCGGTATCCCATTTCCCCACTTACCTCAGGGCTTTGGTCTCCTTCCCCCGGTGAACCTAGTTTAAAGCCCTCCTCACTAGGTTAGCCAGCCTGCTTACCTGGCTGGGAATGGGCAACGGGGGATGGATCACTTGATGATTACCTGTTCTGTTCATTCCCTCTGAAGCACCTGGCCTTGACTACTGCCGGAAGACAGGACACTGGGCTATATGGACCATTGGTCTGACCCAGTATGACCATTCTTATGTAAAAATTAATTATAATAATAAAAATGTTTAGTACAGAAACTCCCCAACATAATGACCTCTCAAGATTGCAACGATGTGAGATAACAACCTTGGCAAATAATGCATTTTAAAAATCTTGGCCTACTAGGAAACATATTTATATAAGTTTCCATTTCCAGTCACAAATCTAGCATTCTGGAGCAAAGTCACTAAAATATAGTCGCTCTGGACACTGCTGTTCGTTGTGCCACCCTTCACTCCACCACTCTGTTGCCAATGGCCCTGCGCAGTCACCTTCTGCTGCCACCTGCCACTGTGACCTCTGCGAGTTGGTCTCTTGAGGTTCCACCCAGCTCTCAGTGATTTCAGCTGAGCTCTCAGTGGGGGAACCTCGCTGCTAGTGCAGTCTGGGCCGTCTCTTCCACAGAAACACTGTCCCACAGGAACACTGTCCCCACAGCACGACTAAGCACTTAGACCTGATTATCAGTGATTTCATCTGCAGTGGTCACTTAACAGAACAAAAGACTATCTATGGAGCCTAATCAGCTCTCTCTCTAAACAGGAGAGAGGGACAGGTCCCCACCCTCTCTCTTGATGCCCTCAATCAGCACAGGCTAAGTACAGTGCTACTGGCCTTTACTCATACAATAAGAACAACAACATTTCATTACCCCCCACCCCGAATTCAAGTGATTTGTAACTCAACCCCATCCAAAATCTATCACTTGGGCAACACAGCTCTGTTTGCTGGATACCTAGGTAGATTAGGTGAGAATGTAAATACAATCTGGTCCTGAAGCCTTTCCCCCAAGCCCCAGCTCATCACTAGCTGTCAGGGAGAGCTCATTTAGACTTTGCTTACAAATCATCATTTTAAATTACACCTCTACCCTGATATAATGCTGTCCTCGGGAGCCAAAAAATCTTACTGCGTTATAGGTGAAACCGCGTTATATTGAACTTGCTTTGATCCGCCGGAGTGCGCAGCCCCAAGGCCCCCCCCCTCCCCCCCCCCGAGTGCTGCTTTACCGCATTATATCCGAATTCATGTTATATTGGGTCACGTTATATCGGGGTAGAGGTGTATTAGGTTGGCCAACATCACTGAAATGAATGCACTGACATTGTCATAAAAAACAACAGCTGTATATGTTCATACTTTTCAAATCTATTATACTTTTTCAGATACACATATTTAATCGTACACTGTATATGCTTTTAAAGTGGGTATTAATGTTTCAATTTCAATTCAAATTTCCAAACAGTCACTAAATTGGCATGTAACTAGTTCACAAAACTGGGGGAGGGGGGGTGTTAGGGAAATTCAGGGGGGGTGTAGGGAAATCACTGCAGTACTGACATGGGGAAGCCTCTCTGCCCCTCAGCTAAGCTCTGGAGTGGCAGGGGGGAAGCGATTTCCAGCCTGTTCGCGCCTCAATCCTGCAGGCGCCACAGCAGCCCTCCGGACAGGGACTTAGCTTAGCACCCTCTTCGCCCCACCCCCCTCCCACTCTGGGTCCTGCCCCCAGGGAGCAGGGGGCTGCTCCATCCCCTAGGCACCCTCCCTTGCTGAGCCACCTCTCTGGCAGGGTTAGCTGAAGCCCCTGCAGTCAGGTTCCCTGAGCCCTGGTGCACAATAGATCCTTAGGGCTTAACCCCTTCCTGCCCGCGCTGTAGCCAGGGGACAGGAGGCTTATGTGGGTTATGTTGGTGACCAGCAGCAGCCTGGCGGTGTTAGCTGCCTTTCAACACTGTGCAGGCAGGAAGGGACAAGCTGCTTCCAGCCACAGGGGAGCATGTGGGGGAGGGTGCGGGGGGAAGGAAGAGATGACCTCTGCAAAGACACAAGCCAGGTCATCCCTTCCCCCACTTCCCCACTCCAGCTGGAAGCAGCTCCCATTCCTTCCCTCCCGCACAGAGCAGAAAGGCTGCTGCTGGCCATATTCTGGTATGAGCCCTGGCATAAATCTGGGGAGGATGTGGCTTTTCATGCCCCCTCCCCCCCCCCCCCCGACATGTTGCCTCAGGAGGATGTGGTGTCAGGTACTAGGAGAGGTGGGTCTGTCCCAGACAGACAGAGGGCGGAGAGCGCTGGGCAGAGAGGGTCGGGTCGGTCAGTCAATCCCCCTGTGTGAGAGTGGTGTACGGGAGTGTGTGTGTCTCACCTCTCCCCGTGTGAACCCTAAAGCCTTAAAGATAAGAAGGTAAATTAAAAGAGTCCAACTATGCAGTATTTTTTTTTAACGGGCTCAGTCAACTTGATGTTAATTTTAACATTTGTACTGTATAGTGCTGATTGATTGCTGTTGAAATGGCTTGAATACGAGTAATTTTACCAGGTGTCCCGTATTCAGTATAGGGAAATATGATCATCCTACAACTGGCTAATGAAGAAGCACTGTAGTTATCTCAATGAAAGTAGTGCAGCACCTCCTCAGAGCTGAAAGAAATGTGGAAATGCTATATAATCAATTAATCAAAAGCAATTTAGAGAGAAATGCGCAGGTGCTTGTTTATATGCCACACATCCTTTCATTTTTAAGTCACTATCTAGAATCTGGTTGATGATGACGACCAAATAATCATTGACAAGTTATTTGGTGGCTTGTGTCAAATGAGAACATTTCAGCTCACCTCCCAGTGTAGGTATCTACATCACAAAAAATATCATGATAATTGACACTAAATGGAACCATTGTTTGTAGTCTCAGCAAGCAGTAACTGAATGGGCAAGTAACTCAAGCGGGGCTGGTCCAGTTCCACATATAGGCTATGCCAGCTCCTACCATTAGCTAATGGAGTTAAAAGATTCAATACCAAATAACAAATCATGATGGGGGTTATTTATATATATACAAACACTGATTGACAGAAGTTTACTTTGTGTGAATGTGGCTGACTGAAATATTTCAAGGTGTTTTTTTTTTTAAATTTTAAGATAGTGGCCTGCAGTGAAGATCCATGTGAAGATTTGGAGAAACTGAAAGAACAATGGTGACTGTGGATTGAAAGTGGAAGTGAGGACATAATAGTCCCAAAGGCCTCACTAGAGTTACTTTTTATAAATGGAAACTGTTTGCTTTGTATTAAAGATTTGTATTTCAGTCAGAGGTACTACCAATCAGGGAACATATAGAAAGGTCAATTTCCTTACAGTAACTCAAATTCTTCTAGATGCCTTTGTCCATACAGATCCCATTATAGGTGCAGCATGTGTCTAATGCACATGAGTCTGGAATCTTTTAGCCAGCAGTGTCTGTTGAGAGTGTGCATGTGCTGTGTTTGAAATGTGGTGATTCGATTCATTGTGGAAAAACTTTCACACAGAATTGTTCTTGCTTATCTGGCATCTAGGATTGCTCCTGTGAACTCTATAAACTGTGAAGGCATGAGAACAGATTTGGACCAACTGAGAGAGAGAGAGAGAGAGAGAGAGACCATTGCCAAAGGGAGGAGAGAAAATCCTTGAAAATTGGTCCAGGATTCTCAACTGTTGTGTCAAAATGTCCTTAAAACTGCCATGGGTCTCCAGCCTCACAGCTCATTCTGCATTCCAGCAGCTTTGAACAATACTAAGAGATCGGCTAATTTTGATGGGACTGTATCTTGTAAACCCTTTGACTAAGTGACCTCAGATTTGCACCACTGTCTTATCCAAGTCTCTTTCCCGGAAAAGCATTTTCAGGTCAGTCGGTTCTGTGTGTGCAACCAGAATGTAAGTGTAATAGCTTTTGAAATATTGTATTGTACAGCTGGTTCTTGATGGTGTTTACTAGGTGAGATCAGGGGATGTCCACTGATGTCAGTTTCATGTGAATCCTGAATATATATTTTTTCTCAGCTCTGAACAAAAAGGGTGAACTCTATCT